AAAAAAAAAATAGAGAATAGCATATGTTGGCGAGGATGTGGAGAAAGGAGAATCATCCTATACTATTGGTGGGACTATAAATTAGTGCAGCCATTATGGAAAACTGTATGAAGTTTCCACAAACAACTACAGACAGAACTGCCATACTATCCAGTATTTCCACTGGAAGGTATATACCCAAAGGAATGGGAATCATAATGTTGAAGGGATACCTGCACTCCAATTTTGCTTGTTTTTTAAGGACCATGCATTGTGGTATCCAGGGCTGAATAGGGAGACTCTTCAGTCTTTCTGGCAATCAGGGTTTTTCTTGAATGCTGTTAGCATCCTTAAATGGGAACATTCTATTTCTGATCTTACTCTTCCTCAACTATGAGATGATGTTTCTACTATCACAGAGGACTAGAGAATTCCTTTGCATTCTTCCAGTGCAAAGGAAACAGCACCATTTCAAGGTATCTAACAGTCCTGTGGCCTTTGACTTTGCACATGCTGGGCTTTGCAAATGTCCAGCAACTTTAAGAGGAGTTAAGATAACCACCAGCTTGAATTGCTCCTCATAGCTTATTTTTGACTGTTTTTTCCCTCTAAATTCATCTTCAACGTGATCCCATCTGCTTTCTTTCCTCTGGAACTATGTATAAATCTCTTCTCTCCAGGTGATCCTTATTTTTTTTTTACTCTTGTGGATTTTTTTTCTCTTTTATATTTCACTTCTTTTAATTAGGAAGAAATTTGGAAGAGATAAGAGGTGAGTAGATAGCCCTGGGTATCAGAAGTCTACATCCATAGAGTCCACATTCACAAAATAGATAGCAGTACTAAATCTTCCCGGTGAAAGACAGTCTCTTCCAGCTGAAAGACAGAGCAAGTGAATGAAAAACGCAAGTAGAGGACTGGGATAATACTCCTGGAATAAAAAAAAAAAAGGTATTCTGCCTTTGTCAAAAGGCCACATTGCCCACAGAGAAAGTGGTGAATTTCTCCATCCTCATGTTTTCAGAGATTGATCTCTCTGGGTTGTTGTGTTTCCATTAGCCCTAAAGGTTTCTGTAGTTGTGTTTCATTTAGCCCTAGGCACAAGCCCTTCTTATCCAGAGTTATGCCTCATCATTAGTCACATGGCAGCACTACTCTATTTTATGGGCCATGTTTTACCTCTATGGATGCACAAGCACCATCCAACGGAAATACCTCTATCATACTCCACTGCCACCATGGCAGCATGGGACCATCCCAAACTCAGCCTCAGGCAATTTGTCTCATTCCAAATACTCTCATGGACCCTAATAGGAAGTCTGATATACTTTTTAAAATTGGTTTATCAGTGAAGTAACTTATTACCCTATTTTGACAAAATGTCCCATTTCTAATGGACTTTAGGGCTAAAACACTATCATTGGTTTGGGAAGAAAGCAACATTTTGGGTGTAAGTCTTGTTATATCTCAGAAAACAGAAGGAACACACTAATTGGTCTGTGCGGGACCTCAGGACC